TTTTTTTTTTCATTGCAGCTATAAAGCTTACAAGGCAAGGAAGTATATTGCTACATTTGACTGGAATTTTCATTTGGATCTCCCATCAGCCACAAGCAAGTCTGGGAATGAAATCACCTCCAGGAGATATAATCAGAGAACTCAGCAGTGGAATGTAAGAACAGTAAAACAAAACAAAACCTTTGACTACATTCCATTGCTTATAGCAAGAATGTTACGTGCTAGAGTGGAGGACAATGATCTCGTGGCACGCAATGTGTCACTCAATGAAAGCGATCCACGTCTAGTGGCACCCACAATTGCTGCAAAGCCTCCCCCTTCCTCGAAGGAACTGTTGGGAAGAAAAAGCAGGTTTATTGTGCCCTCCAAGCATGCAAAATCAACATCTGGTCAGGATTTGGGGGAAATGTTGTCAAATGAATAATTTTTCCACAGTATTTATTTCATATAATATGTGAACATACAATGTACATCCACTTAGAAACTCACTGTGCCGTTATGTTATCAAACAAAAAATATGGAAAATGTTCCATTTTGATACAACATGATAATTACATCAGGGGATATTATTTGGACTCTTGATTTTCTACAAATATCAGTGTTTATATTTTTATTGAAGGTGAATCGATGAGCAGGGAAAACACCTGTGGTGACTTGAAATGAAAATTAATGGACCACTGTATCTTTTATTGAACTGAAATGCATATGCATGACTCTTGCACAAGAGTGAAAAAAAACGTTTTTTACCACTGAAAAAAAGTAAAGTTTGTATATTAAGTCATAAGTACATCCTTCTAGGCGGTGTATCAGGAAAGTTCAGAGTACATCAACTAAGCAATAAAATAGTCAATTGTATCAAGTGTGAGTTGCTGTATTTTGTAAGAAATACATGTGGAAGGGTTTTACCTTGGACACTCAGAAAACTCTAACACTTCACTTTTCCCACTTATGAAAATCTCTATCTTCTTGAAACAACTGCTTTTATCAAAGCTGGAAAACCAAACACTCAGAAATTTGGTATGAATAATTCAACACCACCATTCAAGGTCACCGTAAGATTTCACTTTCATAAGTCATAAGCAGTTATGTAAATTGACATGTAGCCAGAATGCAGTCTCATACATAATTTCAGTGCTCCCGATATCCCATGTAAACCCCTGTGACTGATGGGTTAATCGCTCGCGTATTTTCAAAACTACACATGAAGGACAAACACGCCTGTTTCCTTTACCAAGACGGCCATACTTTGCTAAAATAAATTGTCTGTCTGCGGCTTTCCTAAAAGCACGTGTACTTGCATCTTCTCTGTCATTTCTGATGTCACTAATGTTCCTGATACACATTTCCAAGAAATCAGGATCCAGACATAACTTTGCAAAGTGGGAAGTTGTTGTGATGCACTTTGACTGTTTGTAACACTTATTTTCTACAGCCTGTGGCATTGGCCTGCAAAGGCCACAGGTACACCAATCGACCAAAGGACTGCCTGGTGAAGGAACGGGCTCAGCTGAAGAAACAGTTACAGCCACGGTTGTACATGTAGCTCCAGCTGTCTCGGTGTCAGCAATCATGTCTCCTGTTTCATCTGTGCCATCAAGGTCATCCTCCATGATGAGGAGAGTATGGATATAATCCATACTCCCCACACCCCTCCGCTAAACCCTCACGGCCAACTTTCGCATCGTTGCCTCATCCAGTGTAGCAATGAACTCTTACTATGTTTATAATTCAAAATAAAAATGATGACTATACAATCATAACAAAAATATAACGTGGAAGCAACCCGAAAATATTCATCTACTAATAAAGAAAGGAAAAATGCAGGGCTACATATAATTCACTCTGACGTTCCGGAAATTGAAAATGTGTCAGTTAAAAAGAAAAAAAACTGGGAAAATTATTGACATAATCGTAGTCTATAAAAATACTTCTCACTCATTTTAGTCTCGGGACTGATAAGGAAATAAAACAATGCCAAATATCACAGACATTTGCAGCATTTGCAAGGCAAATGTCCATTCGTGTGCGCATCATAATTGGGATACAGGTAAGAAAAAAAAACACAACAACGGACTAGCGAATAAAAAAATACCTTCACATCGTTGGTTTCTTTAATTTGTTGTTGATCCTCAGTTGGAACGTCGGTAGCGCCTGATGAGAGACGAAATCCCGATCCTTCCAGCCTCGGTCAAATTCTACGTATACGGCTTTCATAGGCCGATGACGACTGCTCGTTCGAATCCTGAAGAAAGGGAATACACAAATTATTTCGTACGCTTTTTCGCAACTCAATAACAAAAGAAGTGAATGTATTCAACTTTATAGGCATGCATACCCTGTTTCTGCAAGGTTTATTGCTTGTTCCACATTTACATTCATCTGTACACAGCACGTTTCTCCCTTTGCACGGGCACCCACGAGAACTATTTTCTTTGCGCTTCGTTGTACAAGCACTTTTGCATTTACAAAAGGTCGCCGCTGGTTCCTGAGTAAAAGAAATTCACCTTCGTGAGTATTTGCTTTGCATTAAGTTGATTTAAATGCAAAATATATGCAGAATTCTTATACTCACCGATATTTCCATAATGGCGGTCGAGCGTGACAAGTTTCGGAGAGAGTGAATGCTACTGCGTATGTCAACCCATGACAGTATCCCTTTAAGGCTGGTTTTCACTAGCGATGGAGTCGTGGTCGGAATCGTAGTCGGAGTCATAAGAGTGCTTACGACCTAGTGAAAATCGAAAATCAGTCGTAAGCGGAGTCATAAGCTCGACGGAGTCGGAGTCGGAAGAATAAGAACGTTTCCATTTCTTCCGATTCCGTTTACGACTCCGTCACTTATGATCCAGTGAAAACTAGATAGTCGGAGTCGGAAGCAGAAGCGGAAGAACTAACCAATCACAAGGCCCGGAATCGAACACTGTGATTGGTTTATTCTTCTGTTTCTGCTTGCGACTCCGACAATGCAGTTTTCACTAGATTGTAAGCGACGGAGTCATAAGCGGATGCAATGTTCTGCTTCTGACTCCGTCGGTTTGATTTTCACTAGATCGTACCGCTCTACGCTTCTGATTACGACTCCAACTACGACTCCGTCGCTAGTGAAAACCAGCCTTTAGAGAGCCAAAGATGACAACAGAAGACAGTTAACTATCCATTCTTTTCGTTCCTTTATTTCCTCTCATCCTATTCAACAAGATTGCATGCTTCCTATGCCTAGATCTGCAAGTGCATCTTTATACAATTTAAACCTCTTCTTTTCATGTGCATTGCACCAACGGGGAGGCTCAATCAAATATGCATGCCTGTTTATTGGCGGGTTCTCGTGACGTCATCATATTACAAAATTAAAAATTACCTTTCTTTCTAAGGTTTTAGTTTCATCAGATATAAGGCCCCTCTGAACTTGACGCTTTAGAACTGTAAACGTTTTAGTGTGTTTTGACGACGGAGTTCTTGTAATAAAGCATGTTTGACTTTCCAAGTTTTGCGTCCAGTGGCATTCAAATGTTGTTGTTGTTGTTGTGTTCGAGAAGGCTGTCGCGTAGGTCAAAAGATGTGCTTTCAAAGTTTCTACTAATCTTATAGGAGAAGAAATATTAATTTCAATGTGTCGAGGCTCTAGAGAAATAACTTATCGTTTCAGAAGCAAAACTTACCTAGTGAGTCTAATGACGGATGCTTCTGTTACTTCACGGCCGCCATGTTTGTGCCCCTCTGAGCGGCACCGATCTCGACATGGCGTCTCCACACAAAGCAAATACTTCTCCAAATATTAACGTACGAATGACGACCTACTGATCGTGGTGCGGTGTTTTTCTAGAGTCTAGATTTTCTAGATTCTGCAAATAAATTAATAACAAGGTTTTATTACTTTTGGAAGGAAATTAATAAAATAACATCAGATCCACAAACGCTTTTCTCTTCAAATATGGGAAGGGTCTTTCATTTGATCGAAGGGAAAAGCGCCCTGGCCTGGAGCTGGAGACGAGGTTCATTTTCCTTTCCATCCATTTCGGTGTTTCCGTTTTTCGCCGATGACGTCAAGTATATGGAGCGATTGTCACATGACATCGTTTCGAGCTACGCCGTTCCACGCAAAATGGCGGACAATTTAGGGTTTTCGGCGCCATCTGCTACTGTACAACCCGATACAAGTGAAAATGCACCTTTATTGCAAGAGCAAGAAGAAGGAAATGTAGATCCAGGACCTCCTCCTCCATTCATAGCTAGTAAGTGAACTTTACAGCTAAGTGTAGAACCTTCAGTGAACTGCTGAGACTGTTAAATATTTCGTTCCTTGCTTTCGAAGTGTGTTGCGAAATGCGTGCCGACAGTTCTTTAGATTGGTACACCTTTCATTGAAGAAGCTATCTAACAGACATATCAAGTTTTATATATATTACCTCAGTGCTCTCTGAAAGAAGCTTGCGATTTCAACTCTGTTTTGTGGGTTTTGTTTTGATGCGAATGTTTTCGTGCTCAGAAATGTTAAGCTTGACTGACTTCGAGAAGCTTCCCTTTCGTGATTTGGTGGTTATCACTTCCTTGTATCATTTTGTAATTTGCGACAAAAAAAGAAAAACAGAATACGGATAATGATTATAAGTTATTGAAAGAATGTTATTCATATGGAAGAAATTCTTAAGATAATTTGCTCCGCCATATTCTCCCTGGAAACCAAATATTCGTACTGTAGCTAAAGTACAGTTGTACATAAGCTTAAGCTTATCAAAAACTGAACTTTTAAGTGTTACCTCCTGGGTATATAATCCTATTTATTTTGGATAGTGAGGCCTGTTTGGTATTTTGGTAAAATTAAAATTACCATTGAAGCTTATTTTGATGTACATTTTAAGTCTTTATCCTACTAAGCCACTGTAGTTTGTTGACCTTTGAGATCTCAAAGCATCTCTATTTTATGCTAAACCATTTACAACGGATGCTATATACAGAATGACTTCTGAACAAAGTCAGGTGATGTTTTAAATAAAAGCAATGGTTTCCAACCCAATAAAGCATAAATACATGTAGTACAATCTAAGGAAATTATGTAAAACCTGCATAATGTGCTCAAAATATCAGCAAAAAAAGTTCCCGGGTGTACAAGAAGAAGGTAAACTGTACTTTAAAAATGTTGAGTTGAGGACATAAGTGCGAGATATATGATAATAAACATGCCTTAGTTCTACTGTTTATGCATAGTGAACATGTATGTATGTAATAAACTTCAGTTACACATGTGTTTAGAGCCAGTTAAGATGATAAAATTGAATTTAATTACAAAAGTTACCATTTGCCATCTATATTTAAACTGATTCTATCCAAATGCACATGTTAACTGGTTTGTGATGAGTGCAATATAGAAAAAAAAAATATCTGACAAAGTTCACATAATGAACAAATTGCATCTGGATTATAATGCATGTTTGTAACTTACACTGAGTTTGACAGTGTGGCTTTGATAGCTAAGTTTTAAATGAGAGAGAAGAAAATCTTCAAAGTGCCGGTCAAATGGAGGAAAGGAAAAAAGCTCTTTGTTCAATCAGATTGCTTTTTAAGCGAACAGTGACAATGTATATAGGAAACATTGTTCTCTCATCAGATTATATAAAAGTTTTCTCTGCCCTCCATTTCCTCATTTTCTTGCTATGCTAAAAGAGCTAATTTGTGGTGCTCAAGATGATCATTATTTCCTCTTTGTGTTTGTTGTAGGTCCACCCCCTCAAGTTCCTGGAACACCCCCACCAGCTTACTCGGAAATGCCTCCACCGTATGCTCCACCCGTGTCCATGAACACAGAACCATCTGTGATCTGCCGAGTGTGTCAACAACTTATCTACATCAGAGGAAGGGAACACCAGCGTGTAGTGAAGTGTGGCAACTGTCAAGAGGCTACGGTAAGTAATTTTTTTTTTTGGCCAAGTGCATAACATGTGTGGTTTCTTTAAAGGAAGTGATAAAAGATGTTGTCTGGTTAAAAAGAATTAAAACATAAGCTTTCGGCTATCAGTCTATACATTTCTTGAATAAAAAATATTGGTGTGCAAATGAAAATATTATACAAAAAGAGTGGATAAACAATTAATTAAAAACTAAAATACAATTTAGAAGTGTGACAAAAAACTATGTAGAATGTAAATGACACCTAAATTACAATAAAATGAAATATTGCCTAGGCAATGGTTTTGAGTTGTTATCTGCACCAATAGTTTCGTAACTCAGTGACGTATAATAATTATTATAAATTAGGACAGTCATGCAAATAAGCTGTTTGATACCTGTCAACAGCAAGAGCTGCAAATTGAAATTGATTTCTGCCTGAGATTACATATTTTCAACAGCTATCTCCCAGAAATTGGGTTGGGTTGGATTGGCAATCATGGGAAATCCTGTTTATTTCGAATGCAAAAGTGCTTGGCTTGACTCTGCATGCTATGGGGGTGTAATTATTTTCTTCAAACCATTGATGCCAGTGCTGCTTCAAACTCCCTGTGTGAAAACCGCCTCTGCTGCTCTTTCTCCATTATTCCTGGGGAATTTTTTCATTTTGTTTCAATAAAAAAGTTTTCAATAAAAAAGTTTTCAATAAAAAAGCAAATGTAACAAGCCGACAAATTGCCGTTTTTTTGCGCATTTCTTAACAGGTGATGAGGGGCCCCATGAGGCCAGGGGTTTCTGAAAATTTGTTTTCACACATGCATTCAAATTGCAATGAAACTATGGCTGCGAATGCAGAAAGAGAACCTGATCTTGCAATGAATATTGAAGACTCAGGGAATGAAGGAAGCCTTGATGGGTTTGAGGGTAGACATAGTGAAGATAGTGATAGTGATGTAGATCGTGTAGGCTTAGAGGACGATGGCGGTGGCCCAGAACCTGGGGGAACAGATGACGAAGAAGAGGAAGCTCAATGGACAGAACAGCTGAGTGACTTCCACGTCCCAGACTTCCAAGCAGCAACTGGAATAACTTTTACCTTACCTGCTAATCCCAATCCTCTAGATTACTTTGTAGAATTCATAAGTGATAATTTATGGGATTTCATTGTTGAAGAAACTAACCGCTGTGCTCGCCAAAAGCTTTGTGATGTACCCCAGCGCCTTGCTAAATTCGTTCCTGTCACACCCGCAGAGATCAAGGCATTTGTAGGAATCAATGTAATTATGGGCATCAATGTCCTTCCCAATCTAGCTTTATATTGGTCTTCTGATAGTTTTTTTGGTAACCAGGGTATTAAAAAGGTTATGCCTAAAAATAGATTTCAGGAAATAAGTTGTTATTTACATTTTAATGATTCTACTAGAGAACCTGCTCGTGGTACTCCAGGTTTTGATCGCCTTTACAAGATAAGGCCGATTTTAAACTCTGTGTTGAACAAATGTCAAAGTAATTTCAAACCAACCAAGAACCTTTCCATCCATGAGGGTGTGATCAGTTATAAGGGGACAAGGGAATCTTTTAGACAAGACATGGCTGCTAAGCCAAATAAGCATGGAATCAAAGTTTGGATGGCAACTGACTCAAGCAATGGGTATATTTTGAATTTTGATGTTTACCTAGGTAAAGAAAATGATGTTCGTCGGCACATTTATGGGTTGGGTTATGAGGTTGTAACTAAGTTGGTTAGGCCTTTCATGAACAGGAACCATCGTGTATTTTTTGATAACTTCTTTACAACAACTAAGCTGTTAGAACATTTAGAAGTTAATGCTACTTTTGCTTGTGGAAAGGTCAGGTGCAATCGTAAAGATTTGCCAGCATGTGCAAAAGACAAATTGCAAGCTGGGGAGAAGTTGGTTCGCCAGAAAGACCATGTTGTTTTCACCAAGTGGCGTCACAGACAGGAAGTTAGTGTAGTGAGTACTATTGTAAGTCCTTTAGCTGATGATGTTGTGGTTAATCAGGTTGTGAAACCAGTTGTAATTGATTTGTTCAACAAGTCCATGGGGGGCATTGATCATGCCGATCAATTGCGCGGGTATTATTCTGTAGGACGTTCATGTCACAAGTGTTATAGGCATATTTTTTGGTTTTTGATTGATATTTCAATATGTAATGCTTTTGTCCTTTGTAATCACCATCGGTTAGGGAAAGGTCAGTGTAAACTTAGACAGTTAGATTTCAGGTTAAGTCTTGCTAAGCAATTGATTGGGGGATTTTCTACTACTGTGTCTGCAGCACAATCCTCAAAGCGCCGTAAGATTGAGGCTTTTGCGCTTGAGCAGGGAAATTCATCGAAACATTTTATTGACAAAATTGAGGGCAGGAAAAGACAGTGTGTTCAGTGTAAGAGGGAGGGTGCAAAGACTCCCAAAGGTCGTCCTATAGAAACTAGTTTTGAATGTGTCCAGTGTAGTGTTGCACTATGTAAAGAAGTTTGCTTTAATGATTATCATATGTTGTAAATTATTTATCATACATGTAATGCAAATGTAGTTGAACCTTGCGTAAACAACCACCCCAAATGTCAAGCTCAGGTGGTCGCTTACGAGAGCTTTGACCATACTGAGTCACAAGTCTGCCTCATTAGCATATGGTAACTGCAGAGAGTTTCCCCATGTTTTGAATATTTAATCACAGTGAAGTCAATTTCAAGAAAAAATCCAGTACTTCCCGTTGAGAAATTTCCATCTCTTGTACTACTCAGGAATGCGGTAATTTTTACTATGACATTTTATTATCCAATTTCCACTTAATTAACTGTCAAGTTGTCACTTACAGAAGATAAAAACACAATGGAAAATTTCAAACTTTTAGTTCTAAAAGTGGTTATGGTAGCTTACGAGAGGTGGTTGCTTACAAGAGGTTTCAAATATTGTGATCTGACTTGGAAACTTTTGGTTTTGTGGAAAACCAGTTGCTGAGTACAGATGGTCACAATTTACAAGAGGTGGTTGCAACTGGAGGTCTTATTTTCAAATTGGATTGTACATGTATCCAGTTTATGTATTGGCTTTTTTCCCAATACTTTGATTGATATATATATTTTTTTCATAATGGAAATGCTATTGATTTCATAAAATTACAGAAAACAATTATGCCATTTTGTTGCATTGCAAAGAAATTACAGTGTATATAATTCCTTATAGACTTGTAGAGTTACAGTTCATTTTGCAGATATTTTTAATAATTGGCCACTTTCTTGACTTCCAAATAAACATTAGTTTGAAACCTGGTCTTGTGTTTGTGATTATTGAGTGGCAAAAGTGGTTTTATTTTTAATGCTTGTCGAGTTACACCTTCAGACCTTCAAATATTTCCAGCTATTCAAGGGTGGGTCACAGCCGCCATCAGTGGGTTAATTATTGCCAACAAAGCAATTCCTTTGTTCTTTTCCCTGAGTAGTAATATTTGAGAGAGGGGACGGGGGATGTGCTTAATTACAATATTGGAACTGAACTGTCACTGGAGAAGGGCACTTGTCCAAAATAACCCATCCACATAATCACTCTTTTTAGGGTTGTGCCTCTTAAAAAATACAACAAATAGGTCTTAAACCTTTTAGTCTCAAGTCCAAAGTGTTAATTCTTCCTACTGACAGCCATACAGTTCTTTTAATATCAGTTCTGGGAATTTGGCAGTGGATCAAAGCAGTATTACTTAGTTGACCATTTTCTTTATTCTCATCACCTGTTTGCTTAATATTGTATTGGTATTGTAATGAGATATTAGATTTTGATAACTGCTGGGATTGAGAAGGTTAAGCATGATGCATGACACTGAAATTCAAAAAGACAATTTGTGATCACCTTGCCATTTTAAAGAGACAATCGAGCTTTAATCTAGAACTAGAATGCCGACTGTACAATTTTTGTATAAAAAATAAACAAACATTAAATTTCTTTACAGTGTTCTCTAAAATATCCTTGCCATAACAAACTCACATATAGTACAACTACAATAATATTAGTCTAAAAATCTCTTAAAGTACTGTACAAAATAGCTATGTTAACTTTTTACCAAAATTGCCTAACAACACCAAAGTTCTTTTCTGGAAATTCGTCAAAAATATAGTCTAAGTAAATTACGTTTCTGAACAGTTATAAAAAATAATGTAATATTAGTCAATTACACTTTCTGCACAAACNAATCTTATAGGAGAAGAAATATTAATTTCAATGTGTCGAGGCTCTAGAGAAATAACTTATCGTTTCAGAAGCAAAACTTACCTAGTGAGTCTAATGACGGATGCTTCTGTTACTTCACGGCCGCCATGTTTGTGCCCCTCTGAGCGGCACCGATCTCGACATGGCGTCTCCACACAAAGCAAATACTTCTCCAAATATTAACGTACGAATGACGACCTACTGATCGTGGTGCGGTGTTTTTCTAGAGTCTAGATTTTCTAGATTCTGCAAATAAATTAATAACAAGGTTTTATTACTTTTGGAAGGAAATTAATAAAATAACATCAGATCCACAAACGCTTTTCTCTTCAAATATGGGAAGGGTCTTTCATTTGATCGAAGGGAAAAGCGCCCTGGCCTGGAGCTGGAGACGAGGTTCATTTTCCTTTCCATCCATTTCGGTGTTTCCGTTTTTCGCCGATGACGTCAAGTATATGGAGCGATTGTCACATGACATCGTTTCGAGCTACGCCGTTCCACGCAAAATGGCGGACAATTTAGGGTTTTCGGCGCCATCTGCTACTGTACAACCCGATACAAGTGAAAATGCACCTTTATTGCAAGAGCAAGAAGAAGGAAATGTAGATCCAGGACCTCCTCCTCCATTCATAGCTAGTAAGTGAACTTTACAGCTAAGTGTAGAACCTTCAGTGAACTGCTGAGACTGTTAAATATTTCGTTCCTTGCTTTCGAAGTGTGTTGCGAAATGCGTGCCGACAGTTCTTTAGATTGGTACACCTTTCATTGAAGAAGCTATCTAACAGACATATCAAGTTTTATATATATTACCTCAGTGCTCTCTGAAAGAAGCTTGCGATTTCAACTCTGTTTTGTGGGTTTTGTTTTGATGCGAATGTTTTCGTGCTCAGAAATGTTAAGCTTGACTGACTTCGAGAAGCTTCCCTTTCGTGATTTGGTGGTTATCACTTCCTTGTATCATTTTGTAATTTGCGACAAAAAAAGAAAAACAGAATACGGATAATGATTATAAGTTATTGAAAGAATGTTATTCATATGGAAGAAATTCTTAAGATAATTTGCTCCGCCATATTCTCCCTGGAAACCAAATATTCGTACTGTAGCTAAAGTACAGTTGTACATAAGCTTAAGCTTATCAAAAACTGAACTTTTAAGTGTTACCTCCTGGGTATATAATCCTATTTATTTTGGATAGTGAGGCCTGTTTGGTATTTTGGTAAAATTAAAATTACCATTGAAGCTTATTTTGATGTACATTTTAAGTCTTTATCCTACTAAGCCACTGTAGTTTGTTGACCTTTGAGATCTCAAAGCATCTCTATTTTATGCTAAACCATTTACAACGGATGCTATATACAGAATGACTTCTGAACAAAGTCAGGTGATGTTTTAAATAAAAGCAATGGTTTCCAACCCAATAAAGCATAAATACATGTAGTACAATCTAAGGAAATTATGTAAAACCTGCATAATGTGCTCAAAATATCAGCAAAAAAAGTTCCCGGGTGTACAAGAAGAAGGTAAACTGTACTTTAAAAATGTTGAGTTGAGGACATAAGTGCGAGATATATGATAATAAACATGCCTTAGTTCTACTGTTTATGCATAGTGAACATGTATGTATGTAATAAACTTCAGTTACACATGTGTTTAGAGCCAGTTAAGATGATAAAATTGAATTTAATTACAAAAGTTACCATTTGCCATCTATATTTAAACTGATTCTATCCAAATGCACATGTTAACTGGTTTGTGATGAGTGCAATATAGAAAAAAAAAATATCTGACAAAGTTCACATAATGAACAAATTGCATCTGGATTATAATGCATGTTTGTAACTTACACTGAGTTTGACAGTGTGGCTTTGATAGCTAAGTTTTAAATGAGAGAGAAGAAAATCTTCAAAGTGCCGGTCAAATGGAGGAAAGGAAAAAAGCTCTTTGTTCAATCAGATTGCTTTTTAAGCGAACAGTGACAATGTATATAGGAAACATTGTTCTCTCATCAGATTATATAAAAGTTTTCTCTGCCCTCCATTTCCTCATTTTCTTGCTATGCTAAAAGAGCTAATTTGTGGTGCTCAAGATGATCATTATTTCCTCTTTGTGTTTGTTGTAGGTCCACCCCCTCAAGTTCCTGGAACACCCCCACCAGCTTACTCGGAAATGCCTCCACCGTATGCTCCACCCGTGTCCATGAACACAGAACCATCTGTGATCTGCCGAGTGTGTCAACAACTTATCTACATCAGAGGAAGGGAACACCAGCGTGTAGTGAAGTGTGGCAACTGTCAAGAGGCTACGGTAAGTAATTTTTTTTTTTGGCCAAGTGCATAACATGTGTGGTTTCTTTAAAGGAAGTGATAAAAGATGTTGTCTGGTTAAAAAGAATTAAAACATAAGCTTTCGGCTATCAGTCTATACATTTCTTGAATAAAAAATATTGGTGTGCAAATGAAAATATTATACAAAAAGAGTGGATAAACAATTAATTAAAAACTAAAATACAATTTAGAAGTGTGACAAAAAACTATGTAGAATGTAAATGACACCTAAATTACAATAAAATGAAATATTGCCTAGGCAATGGTTTTGAGTTGTTATCTGCACCAATAGTTTCGTAACTCAGTGACGTATAATAATTATTATAAATTAGGACAGTCATGCAAATAAGCTGTTTGATACCTGTCAACAGCAAGAGCTGCAAATTGAAATTGATTTCTGCCTGAGATTACATATTTTCAACAGCTATCTCCCAGAAATTGGGTTGGGTTGGATTGGCAATCATGGGAAATCCTGTTTATTTCGAATGCAAAAGTGCTTGGCTTGACTCTGCATGCTATGGGGGTGTAATTATTTTCTTCAAACCATTGATGCCAGTGCTGCTTCAAACTCCCTGTGTGAAAACCGCCTCTGCTGCTCTTTCTCCATTATTCCTGGGGAATTTTTTCATTTTGTTTCAATAAAAAAGTTTTCAATAAAAAAGTTTTCAATAAAAAAGCAAATGTAACAAGCCGACAAATTGCCGTTTTTTTGCGCATTTCTTAACAGGTGATGAGGGGCCCCATGAGGCCAGGGGTTTCTGAAAATTTGTTTTCACACATGCATTCAAATTGCAATGAAACTATGGCTGCGAATGCAGAAAGAGAACCTGATCTTGCAATGAATATTGAAGACTCAGGGAATGAAGGAAGCCTTGATGGGTTTGAGGGTAGACATAGTGAAGATAGTGATAGTGATGTAGATCGTGTAGGCTTAGAGGACGATGGCGGTGGCCCAGAACCTGGGGGAACAGATGACGAAGAAGAGGAAGCTCAATGGACAGAACAGCTGAGTGACTTCCACGTCCCAGACTTCCAAGCAGCAACTGGAATAACTTTTACCTTACCTGCTAATCCCAATCCTCTAGATTACTTTGTAGAATTCATAAGTGATAATTTATGGGATTTCATTGTTGAAGAAACTAACCGCTGTGCTCGCCAAAAGCTTTGTGATGTACCCCAGCGCCTTGCTAAATTCGTTCCTGTCACACCCGCAGAGATCAAGGCATTTGTAGGAATCAATGTAATTATGGGCATCAATGTCCTTCCCAATCTAGCTTTATATTGGTCTTCTGATAGTTTTTTTGGTAACCAGGGTATTAAAAAGGTTATGCCTAAAAATAGATTTCAGGAAATAAGTTGTTATTTACATTTTAATGATTCTACTAGAGAACCTGCTCGTGGTACTCCAGGTTTTGATCGCCTTTACAAGATAAGGCCGATTTTAAACTCTGTGTTGAACAAATGTCAAAGTAATTTCAAACCAACCAAGAACCTTTCCATCCATGAGGGTGTGATCAGTTATAAGGGGACAAGGGAATCTTTTAGACAAGACATGGCTGCTAAGCCAAATAAGCATGGAATCAAAGTTTGGATGGCAACTGACTCAAGCAATGGGTATATTTTGAATTTTGATGTTTACCTAGGTAAAGAAAATGATGTTCGTCGGCACATTTATGGGTTGGGTTATGAGGTTGTAACTAAGTTGGTTAGGCCTTTCATGAACAGGAACCATCGTGTATTTTTTGATAACTTCTTTACAACAACTAAGCTGTTAGAACATTTAGAAGTTAATGCTACTTTTGCTTGTGGAAAGGTCAGGTGCAATCGTAAAGATTTGCCAGCATGTGCAAAAGACAAATTGCAAGCTGGGGAGAAGTTGGTTCGCCAGAAAGACCATGTTGTTTTCACCAAGTGGCGTCACAGACAGGAAGTTAGTGTAGTGAGTACTATTGTAAGTCCTTTAGCTGATGATGTTGTGGTTAATCAGGTTGTGAAACCAGTTGTAATTGATTTGTTCAACAAGTCCATGGGGGGCATTGATCATGCCGATCAATTGCGCGGGTATTATTCTGTAGGACGTTCATGTCACAAGTGTTATAGGCATATTTTTTGGTTTTTGATTGATATTTCAATATGTAATGCTTTTGTCCTTTGTAATCACCATCGGTTAGGGAAAGGTCAGTGTAAACTTAGACAGTTAGATTTCAGGTTAAGTCTTGCTAAGCAATTGATTGGGGGATTTTCTACTACTGTGTCTGCAGCACAATCCTCAAAGCGCCGTAAGATTGAGGCTTTTGCGCTTGAGCAGGGAAATTCATCGAAACATTTTATTGACAAAATTGAGGGCAGGAAAAGACAGTGTGTTCAGTGTAAGAGGGAGGGTGCAAAGACTCCCAAAGGTCGTCCTATAGAAACTAGTTTTGAATGTGTCCAGTGTAGTGTTGCACTATGTAAAGAAGTTTGCTTTAATGATTATCATATGTTGTAAATTATTTATCATACATGTAATGCAAATGTAGTTGAACCTTGCGTAAACAACCACCCCAAATGTCAAGCTCAGGTGGTCGCTTACGAGAGCTTTGACCATACTGAGTCACAAGTCTGCCTCATTAGCATATGGTAACTGCAGAGAGTTTCCCCATGTTTTGAATATTTAATCACAGTGAAGTCAATTTCAAGAAAAAATCCAGTACTTCCCGTTGAGAAATTTCCATCTCTTGTACTACTCAGGAATGCGGTAATTTTTACTATGACATTTTATTATCCAATTTCCACTTAATTAACTGTCAAGTTGTCACTTACAGAAGATAAAAACACAATGGAAAATTTCAAACTTTTAGTTCTAAAAGTGGTTATGGTAGCTTACGAGAGGTGGTTGCTTACAAGAGGTTTCAAATATTGTGATCTGACTTGGAAACTTTTGGTTTTGTGGAAAACCAGTTGCTGAGTACAGATGGTCACAATTTACAAGAGGTGGTTGCAACTGGAGGTCTTATTTTCAAATTGGATTGTACATGTATCCAGTTTATGTATTGGCTTTTTTCCCAATACTTTGATTGATATATATATTTTTTTCATAATGGAAATGCTATTGATTTCATAAAATTACAGAAAACAATTATGCCATTTTGTTGCATTGCAAAGAAATTACAGTGTATATAATTCCTTATAGACTTGTAGAGTTACAGTTCATTTTGCAGATATTTTTAATAATTGGCCACTTTCTTGACTTCCAAATAAACATTAGTTTGAAACCTGGTCTTGTGTTTGTGATTATTGAGTGGCAAAAGTGGTTTTATTTTTAATGCTTGTCGAGTTACACCTTCAGACCTTCAAATATTTCCAGCTATTCAAGGGTGGGTCACAGCCGCCATCAGTGGGTTAATTATTGCCAACAAAGCAATTCCTTTGTTCTTTTCCCTGAGTAGTAATATTTGAGAGAGGGGACGGGGGATGTGCTTAATTACAATATTGGAACTGAACTGTCACTGGAGAAGGGCACTTGTCCAAAATAACCCATCCACATAATCACTCTTTTTAGGGTTGTGCCTCTTAAAAAATACAACAAATAGGTCTTAAGCCTTTTAGTCTCAAGTCCAAAGTGTTAATTCTTCCTACTGACAGCCATACAGTTCTTTTAATATCAGTTCTGGGAATTTGGCAGTGGATCAAAGCAGTATTACTTAGTTGACCATTTTCTTTATTCTCATCACCTGTTTGCTTAATATTGTATTGGTATTGTAATGAGATATTAGATTTTGATAACTGCTGGGATTGAGAAGGTTAAGCATGATGCATGACACTGAAATTCAAAAAGACAATTTGTGATCACCTTGCCATTTTAAAGAGACAATCGAGCTTTAATCTAGAACTAGAATGCCGACTGTACAATTTTTGTATAAAAAATAAACAAACATTAAATTTCTTTACAGTGTTCTCTAAAATATCCTTGCCATAACAAACTCACATATAGTACAACTACAATAATATTAGTCTAAAAATCTCTTAAAGTACTGTACAAAATAGCTATGTTAACTTTTTACCAAAATTGCCTAACAACACCAAAGTTCTTTTCTGGAAATTCGTCAAAAATATAGTCTAAGTAAATTACGTTTCTGAACAGTTATAAAAAATAATGTAATATTAGTCAATTACACTTTCTGCACAAACAAAAGAAGGCACTTTCCTTGAAAAAAATTACATACAAGATATAAATTTGTTAATAAAATCAATCAATCAGTTTTGAAATTACGGAAATCTGTTGATCAATGGACTACAGGTGGACCCTGTTAATTCAAACTCAGTTATTTCGAACTCAAAACCATTTTCCTTAGATTTGCCCTTCAGTCATTTACTATCAACTATTTCACACTCCTGCTATTTCAAACTTTTTTTGTTTCTCTGGTGAGTTAGAAATAGCTTGTTTCAACTGCATTGCTCTCGTTATTTATGTCAATTTATACTGGAATTTTGTTAGATAACAACACAGTTGCAATTGCTAATAAAATGTTCATTTTAGTAATGACAATGTCTTTCTCTCACAGCCCATTAAACCTCCTCCTGCTGGCAAGAAATATATCCGGTGTCCATGCAATGCTTTACTGACCTGCAAGGTCTCTTCTGTCAGAATATCTTGCCCTCGAGTAAACTGGTAAGTTGCTGTGTTTTGATGTAGACTTGTTTTTACCCCAAGGTGCCTCAGAATTTTGTTTAGGGGTATGCATTGAAGGTCTGTTGACCAGTTGGTTGTGTTTACGTGATAGGCTTAGTTCCATGTGTCAGGGGTTTCATTAAGGCCAGACACTGGGTAAATCGACTGGCTGTGAGGATGACTTTGGTACTCACAACATCAGTGTAAAAAGTGACATACTGAAGAATACTGCCCTGCAACAGATAATACTTTACAATGTGTTCATGTTGCTACACATTGTATACGACCATACAGTCAAAAAATGATAGAAAGCAAATCGTAGTAAATGGTCCTCCTGTTTGCAGAGCACAAAGCTAATTGGCGTAATGAAAAAAAATTGTACTACCTTTTCAGGCACTTTAACAGAGAGTGGTAAATTTGGGAGTATAACATGTTTTAAAGTGTTTTGAACTCGCCTTATATTTTTCAGCAAGCGAATTATCAACCTTGCTCCAACTCCAGCTGTACCTCCAACAGTGACAGTGCCTTCTATGAACAGAGCCCAGTTCAGAGTCACTTGTGGCCACTGTAATGAGATCTTTATGGTAGGTACATTCTGACTTATAAAAAACCCCCCTCCTTCCCCCGCACTCCCTTCCAATTTTAACGCCCAGCGGTCAGGGTGTTCCCTTGCACGTTAGCTTGCATTAACTAGCTATTGCATGCAACTACGTGCAAGTCTTTTTTAATTGAAACTTCAGCTTTCCAAAAGTTGCCTTGTTCTCATTAGTCTCTTGAATTTCATCACTTATCCATTTATTTCTCATTATTACTCCCGGTTAGTGTCAAAGTAATCATTGTGGATTACACCGTCTTTAAAGGTACACTTTACAGGTCATGATTTTTATGACAGAAGCTAAATTTAAATGAGATTTGTTGACTTAGATTTTTTAGAGGAAAGAGAGTTGTTTAATAGTAGTTATGGCATTTGAAACCCCTTGAAAGAGGTTTATGTGGATCTTTATTAACGAACTGAGTAAATGTGGTTTTAAAAAAATATAACTGATGAGCCCTTACTGTTAATAATTGTTTACTTCAGACATAGTTCTTTTAGACTTAAGCTGGTTTCTTTTTGTTTCTGATAAATGTTTCTTAGCCATGCTGAGATACTGAGAAACTATTTCAAACGTACTTGATGATATTTGACTCTCGAGTTTCATTTTGTTTGACGCGTCGATTTTCCGAGAACTCTCTTCTTTTCAATGTTAGCCTTCTCTAGCAGACTGCATGGCTAATTTGCATCAAGATAAAAAGAAAACCATCATGGCGGCTGTCGTGATTATGCTCTACTACATGTAATTTTTGTGACCTCGTGTATATAAAACATTAAAATCTGGATCATTGGAGAATGCAGTTCCAGTGTTTTCATTGGTCTAGTCATCGTGGTATACGAGCAACCCGTGTTCCAGATCAGCCATAGCCTACGTGTAGCCGTCTTGAAACTTAACTTTCAAGATAAAATTTTGTGTCTTTCAAGTAACCAAGACTTAGTTCTGTATGAAGGTGATTCGAATTTTTAACGCGCAACCAGTAAAAATACCCCATTTTAAGAGCCTGGTGACGCGTAAACAAGTACGCGGACCCCATTTTTTACTGCATTTTTTTAATGTTCATATCATGGATGTTAATTATACCAAGTTTCAAAAAAAGCTTGATAGTAGAACAATTTCAAGGGAATTACCTTTATTGAACTCTAAGCCAATTTTTAACTTGGAAAATATTATTTTCCAAGTTGTAGTGGGAGAACGATTTCACTCCATTGCTCCGTCACTTCTTCACTCCGTAACTTCCTGTTAGACATTTGGAACCCCCGGGGGGAACTCCCATATCAAAACATCCGCAGGAATGCTCGTCGGAAAATTTAAATTTAACTCCTAAAGGAGACTAATATGGGTGCTACTCGAGCTTCATTAGGCCCTTAAAAAGACACCACTTTAAAACGGAATAGGTTCGATTACTAGCCACTTTTCAAGAAAGGGTCCCGCGCGCACTTGTAGACCCTACTCGCGCACTGGAGAGATCAGCGGAAATCAAGCCTAGAAACAAAAACTAATTGAGAGCGTTTCTTTTATTATTATTTCTACGAGTGCACCTTAAAGGATTCTTTGACAGCTAAGAATGGTGACGTTTCGTCATCAACACGCTAATTGAGACCAGGATCCTTGATTTGTACCCGAGACGATGGCCCGACCTTTTTATATAGGAGTACCCCCGGGTTTTCAACATCACGCCGTCTAAGGCCGTCTTACAGTCGCTTGCACAGTGTCAAGTTAGTTATTCTTTGAATTTCTGACGCAAGTACTCACTATCTTACCACAGAAATTATTTTCGCACGACCGTTTTCATACAGAGAAGTTAATTATCATAAATAGTTCAGTTCCCGAAGGTGTCCTCTTATACAGGTTCAACCGTACTCGATTGCCGAAAAAGAAGATATTGAAAATCACAAACTTGATGAGCTGTATAAATTTTCCAATGATTCAAGCCGTGATTTAAAGTTTTAGACGATCATCAGACATGAGAATTGAGGAGAATTCGAGCGACGTGTTTCGCTATTGGTTATAAGGTATTGTAAATAACTACACATAAATACGGACATGGCGAAAATGATATTTTACAATAACTGTGTAATTTCTCGCTCGCTGATTGGCTCATTTTTATCATCAATAAGACTACAGACGGATAAAATTATAATTTATGCAAGCTTTCAAGTTCAGCTCTTAAACTGTCAACTTTTTAACCAATGAGATTTTATTGACTTTTAGGAGCCAATCAAAAAGCGAGAAAAACTGTTGACAATGTTCGCGTCATTTTTAATAAAATTCACTTATCTTTGCTTGCGGCAAGTTTACGGCGTCTTTTCCCCTCATTTGTTCCCGGCATTTACCATATTGGGGTCAGTGGCATCAAAATTGTCAATGTTTACAGACGATCCATTTTCTAAGTTCAGTGGCTCTTTGCCACTTTGATTTACATGTAAGACTGTCAACTCGTTTCGTCGAGCAGTTTCGTGGTTTTCTTTGTAAATCATACAGAACTACAGCTGGACCTAAAGGCAAATAACACAAACAGAAGGTGCCACGCACTAATCCCTCTCGAAAGTAATTTAGCATAAATATTTTTACATCATTAAACAAGCCTACAAGCCCTTTGCATATTACTTAAACGTCTTTGCATCATCTGAAGCAGCGTCCAAACTGTGTTTATGGCGCTTTCAACAAAACGGTTTGATGACCGCGTTTCGCGTTTCGCCTTAATATTTCTGTTCTTTTTCTGCATTGTGGGATTTCTACTGGGAATCGTGTTTATTTATCTGAATGTGAACGATCGAATAAGCAAGCTCGAGCAGAAAGTTTTTCCCGCGAGCAACGAGGGATCGGACTCATTCACCACAGCGGCGTCTCGAGTTTAGCCGGTACACTGAACAAGGGACATTATACATCTAGATCAATCTGCAAGAGTGGAAGAGAACTCATATGGATCCCAAGGATGATTAAGGTACTTGAACTTTTGTTCTCTGCTTTTTAGTTTCGAAACGATGACTTTGCATTTTAAAACACGAAAGAGTAAATAACTAATCTAAGTATTTGAAAGAGTGAACGAGAACGAATCTGCCGGAAAATTAGAATCCCAAGACACTCCAAGCGCGGCTTACGTAAAGCAATAATATCGCGTACCTTTAAAACCAATTTTACCGGAAATTAAGCTCGATGAAGTAAGGACGTTTTGATCCTTCTTTGTACAATCTATTTGTATGCTTGTGCTATTTTGATGAACATTCCTTTGAAACTAACGAACAGAGTTAATACTAGTTTCAAACCTGGGTAATAAATGCGTAATCTAATGAGAAGTTTCTCTTCTAGAACAGCAAAAATGAGACATGATACGACTTTATCTTCCATGAACATGCTCTCATTAAATTCATCACATTTTTCTTTCAGATAACGCGGCCAAGGTCTACTGACAAATAGAAACAAAAGCCACTGATTTTTTTGAACTGAGACAGGACTTCAGGCTATGGAAAGCGACTCACTGCATTCCATGTGAATATTCAGTGTGTTCAGGTCTCTTTTTTTCCTTCATTATTTCATTATTCCACGAAGACAGGCCTCCACTGCGAAACTGGCACTCATCCTCAATCGCATGTGGAGATTGGAGAGTGTAATTTAGGGAATTAAAGTACGATATGCAATGATGCGGAGACAATTCTCCCCTAGCTCAGTCAAGAGGGATTGAATCGAACTACATGCATGGAGACCCAACTGAATACCAATTCAGTCTTTGTTAGAGTCTGCACTTGAAATGATTGTAAATAATAGTTGAAACAGGACAGTCACGCTGGACTTGAACAGAGCGGTCATACCGCTTGCTTTCCTCATTCGACCGTCTTCTTGTTTACCTGTGTGCATGCATGGTTGGCATCTACTCTGTTTTATCAAACACAAACACACAGTCGTGCGTCTACCGTGTGAAACACCTCGGTCGAAAACATAAATATTGGCTACGGTTTGCTGATTTTTGGTGATTCCAATTAGCAATAAGAAAGGACATAGAGGTAGGAGTAGTCTTAGATATTACATGAAAGGAAGTAAAATCACAAAAGGCTTGCATATCGATACATAAACGCGAGTCCCTTACGAAGGTAAACTTTTTAAAGCCATCACCGGCGAAGAGTGTTCCAAAATAAAAGACAATTTCGCTTTCTGGATATACTCTCACGTGATTTCTTATCATATCGTTAGTATGGCGGTAAAATTAGAGAAAAAGTACAGTAACAGCCACCAAACTTTCAGAATGATAATACGAAGTACTACGAATATACATACGTGTCATGAACAATTTGAAAGATCAATTCCATAACACGTTTTGTAATTGCCGGCGCATTTTAGGCACCGTTTCTGTCGCTGGCAATGGCTGACAAATACTAGTATAATTCGCTAAGAGATCTAGGAAAAATCTTCGTTCAGGTATGGCAGGTAAGTCCCAGAATTTTCCTATTTAGGAACTTTAGGGCTGAGCCGTGGAAAATGTAACATTGGAATATTAAAGCATATCTTCACCATTAGTGAGTTTTTTCTTTAATTACTGATTAAGCTTGATTAGTGAGACNCTGATTTTTGGTGATTCCAATTAGCAATAAGAAAGGACATAGAGGTAAGAGTAGTCTTAGATACTACATGTAAGGAAGTAAAGTCACAAAAGTCTTGCATATCGATACATAAACGCGAGTCCCTTACGAAGGAAAACTTTTTAAAGCCATCACTGGCGAAGAGTGTTCCAAAATAAAAGACAATTTCGCTTTCTGGATATACTTTCACGTGATTTCTTATCATATCGTTATATGGCGGTACAATTAGAGGAAAAAAAACAGTAACAGCCACCGAACTTTTAGAATGATAATATGAAGTACTACGAATATTGTTTATAAGGATACATGCGTGTCGTGAACAATTTGAAAGATCAATTTCATAAAACGTTTTGTAATTGCCGGCGCATTTTAGGCACCGTTTCTGTCGCTGGCAATGGCTGACAAATACTAGTATAATTCGCTAAGAGATCTAGGAAAAATCTTCGTTCAGGTATGGCAGGTAAGTCCCAGAATTTTCCTATTTAGGAACTTTAGGGCTGAGCCGTGGAAAATGTAACATTGGAATATTAAAGCATATCTTCACCATTAGTGAGTTTTTTCTTTAATTACTGATTAAGCTTGATTAGTGAGACGCTGATTCAGTGTGAATCGAACTTAAAAGCTTTCTTTACCAAGCAAGAAACAACTTAACTGTGATTATTTGTACGTGCAGTACTAATTATAAGCCGCGTAGTTTACTTTGAAACGTTGCGAGCGTAACCTTTAGTTAAACTCAATACTAGCATCTGCGGCGCTAGAAAATATGATTTTTGAGCCGTTTTGGTCTGAGATCAAGTATAGATTTTGACGTACTGTTTTGATTGCAAAGAGGGTAAGCTGACCATTTTGGTCTGAATTACGTTACGTTTTTCGCTCTGGTCTGGAATTAGGTAACTGCGTAGTTTAGTCGAGACTAATTTTTACTTGTTATACATGATTGGTGAATTTACAGCGTTTTCTCAAGCGTTTACGAACGTAGAAGCCGCACCTGGTTAGCAGACAGAGGTTGCGAATTAGGCTGAGGTGTTAATTTTAAAGACCTTAAATAGGGCAACGACATGATCAAAAATGGCATATTTTGGTCTGAGATAGGATAAGAATTTCATAAAAAAGCGCTGCACACCCCAGGGAAATGTTATAGTCATCGAGAACATTCGGGCTTCCATTCAGTACGTTGTGTTCAATAACTGAAGATTTTGTGGCTTGTTTATTTTTGTGGCTGAACCTAGCTATCGTTCTATTTAAGGAAGGGCCAAGGGAATGGCAAAATATGTTCGCTCAGCGAAGTTCCGTTATATCCGGGTTTAATGGATCGACGAGGATATCGCTCGTTATACCGAGAACTTCGTTATATTCGAGGTTCCACTATATCACGAAACCTTTACTTAAAGGATGCGAATGTTGAAAAGACCAGGAACTGGAATCCAAATTAACGTTTTCAGCTATACGAAGTCGGTTGCCGCCAATCCTGTGACTTCATCGTGAACAGTCCGCGTGTGACACGTACGACAAGAAATAACCAATCACTGACAGGTTATTGATGCCTTTCCGAGACCAGTCTGTTTTACATGAATATCCTATCACATGTTTTGAACTTAAGTTTAATTTATTTTCACTGCTCCTGAAGTGAAAATTCATCCCAGAGATATATCTGTTTCCAACAAAATGTGAAAATATACAAATCAGTCGTTTTAAAGAATCGAGAAAGGCTCGATAACAGACTGCCTGCGAAAACAGCCGTCCTTCTTCGCTCCCGGCCCGAGTGGCGTTTCGCAGGATTGACAGTCTAATTTCATGGTAGTTAACGTGTTATAGAAGAGCATATATATAGAACTGATATGATACATCCTGGCTTGTGACCAATGTTTGTTTTACTGTAGTCGATCAGTGTTTACAATCGAGGTGATGTAACTCATTTGATTGTAGTTCAACGTTTCTTCTCCAATATGCCTCAATTGTTTCTAACTTAACCGTTGCTTACTTCTTATTTTTCAAATGGAGACATGACAGACATACACACGGATTCATGGAGGTATCTATCTCCGTTTTTGTTCTACCGGAAAAAAATCTCAAACAAATCAGCGTTACAGCCTTCTTCAAATTGCTAGTAAATGTTTCTAAATATTTACAGTCGTTTTACTTTTGATTGTCATTGTAATGGACGTAGAGCAAACGCGAAAAAATTCTCGACGATCGATAACTTCCTTCACAACTACTAATATGATGTTTCGTATGAAAACGTCTATCCTTAACTTCCTATTTCAGAAGACAAAGTTCTTTCGCTCAGAACGATTCAGTTCGCTATGAAATTTTCCAAATCTCGCGTCGGCTTGTATTTCGCGACTGTCTTCGCGATGTGCTCTGCATTTCAGAGCATTTCTGCCATGGAAGAAACTCTTGACAATTTTCGTCAAGAAGAAGAAGTTCCGGCAAAACATCCCGAGCCGATACGAGTTAAAAGATCAGTTAAAATGAATTCGTCGACCCGTCCAAACCTTCCGGATATTGCCAAACGGCTGCAAGCCGTGGAAAAACAGTAAGTAGTAACTTACGAAAACAAAATTCTATATATCTTTAGAGAGGAAAACGATGAAACTGAAACTCGCTGAAGTCGAGTTAAAATGGCCCTAAAATGGCACGGAGACAAAAGTAACACACAGAGGAGTCGAGGTAAGTCGTCTTTATTCAATCATCTTGTCCATCGGCATATTTTTAACTCTCACATACGATCGTTACTTAGTTCTTATTAACCGAGCAAGAGGTCTGTATGGGAGAATCTTGACCGCGAGGTCGAGAGTGCAGGCCAAACGCATTGAGGTCTGTACACACGACAGATCGAGGTCAAGATTCTCCCATACAAACCGACTAAGCTCGGTTGATAAGATGTTTATTATATGGCAAACAAGAACAGTTTAATTCGTTTAATGTAACTGGTTTGCACTAAGTGAAGTCTTTTTTCCTCATCAGGCTTTTTGGCACTTCCATAGATAGATATTGTTAGAAGAAAATAGTCAATGATTTTGCTATTTAGTCTGCAGCTTTTTCCACTGCAAAACATTACTGGTCTAGACGCCGGTCTAGATGGGAAAATCTAGACCGCTTTCAATATCGATTTCAGCCAATCAAATTCGTGAATTCGGTAGCACCCAGTCCTTGTGAGACACAGCCATATAATAAATGCCCATACAAACTGTTATATTTACGCTGTTACGCAATATAGTCATATAATAAAGTTCACGGCTCCCAACTACCCAAGGAGCTTGGGACACCTGTGGTTATTGTAGTTTGTGTAGTTGCTGTAGTATGTGTAGTTAGTCATAATATAGTTTGAGCAGATGTTTAAGTTTGTGGTTGATGTAATTTGTGTATAGTTACTCATGTAGGCTGTGCAGTTGTAGTTTGTAGTCTCTCTCTATTAGGTTTTCGTAGTTGCTGTTGTTTCTTAAATTTCTGTTGTAAACATATCAGGTTTTGAGCATGCGCAGTAGGACGAGACAGAATATACACGTGTGCTTGTACTCG